TAGAGTTTACGTCAAGCGGGGTGACGATCGCAGTGGTGGGAGTTAGCACGCGGCGGCCGGGACCGTCGGTGCGGGTATGAGGATTGATGATCGGAGTTGAGTGAGTGATTGGCCCGGGCCCATATTGGAATTAACCGCGAATGCGCCTTTGTTGTTGCGGATCTGTATTTCTGGCGTGAGTGTACGGAGGCAATGCCGAACTTCTCTCTTCCCGTACCTTCTCCTCTTCTATTTTGATTTTCCTCCCTCGTCACTCTCTCTCTCTCTCTCTCTCTCTCTCTCTCTCTCTCTCTCTCTCTCTCTCTCTCTCTCTCTCTCTCTTTCCCTCTCTCTCTTTGGCATGATGATGCGTCTGAATGAATGTTTCTCTCTTGAATGGGAATGGTGTCCTGCTTCTGTGTGAAAGAACTTCTTCCGTAACTCTTCCATTAGTTTCCTGGGTTATCCTCCTACGCAAGGACCCCGTCTTCTTGTCTTGTGAACGGTGGATGCGTGTGTACTGTGTGAGCAATCCATCTTTTTCCTGTGCATGGCTCATTTTTCGCACCTTCCACAGTGAATGAATGTATGGAAATGCGYRTCTCTTTTGCGTTKATTAGACGATTGTYGTCGGGATTTTGTYCGAGAATGCAAGAGTGYTTAGATYTGTAGCTCTGAGTGCACTGCGCATGCCATCTGCCTTATGCTGCCCGACATCCGCAGYCGAACCACGGGCGGCYTYGAGAAACAAGGCGCCTGGGATCAACGTCGCACTGRCTCYCTAACCCTRAGCYGCGGATCGGTTCCTTAGTCATATGCATGATCAAGCTGATGAAGTGTCTTCTTTCGCTTTCTCTCTCTCGTGTTAAAGGAGATTGATTGTGGGGTGCGCAAGCGTTTTTAATGACGTCTCCAGTTCTTTACAATTGATTGATATRTGGACTGACCARTACCCTCCGATCGGGCACCAGCCTCCCRTACCTCTCGTCCCAACACGACCTTTTCCYTACAACGAGGGAAGGACACGTGWATGTGAGTGGGACGTACGAGAAGCSGTTGCGCAAATCGRCGGACGATACTACTTCCCTCCGGCAAATCKTTGTTCAGGGTTCGTAGAGGYTGGGTTTGTCATTATSGATACACACTTCCSACCTTACTSGGTATTGTTKCCATTSAACGAGTTGATCRTCATCCCRTGGACKRCAGTAGAACCCCRCTGGCCGCGCACTCTGTGCACCGAATRTCAGCGTTTTGAGCRYTACGAGTCCAGGGGTTTCCACTACCGTGTGCGGAGTGAAGACGAGCATAAAGAAAGAGCCACGCGGCTGAGACCATCCACGTCAGACTCGGAACTGACCAGTGAACGACGACGAGATTTGATACGAAAACGAGACATGCGAAGCGTGCCAAAGCCTTTTCGTTCTAAACGACGGGCTGTAGCCCGGTGTGAAGCTCGGCAGTACTTTTTGGATTGAATCTGGATTTTTCGCGTCGTGCCCGCGTGCGAATTCCGCAACACGCGAAAGCAATCGACTTGCTTCATCAGACGAACATGGGGGATTTCAGTTCCATCTGTGTCCCCACACTCAATTTTCAAAAATCCTTGGCACACCCCATGTTGCTGTTTTTCTGGGCCTCTTTCCGCACGCCTGACACTCCGAACGAAGACAGCACAGGGCGTGAGGTTGGTATCGGAGCCGACAGGTGTCGGTTCTGATGACAGTAAGTCGAACTGGTGAGAGGTAGAAGAGGCCCTCAACTAGCTCGTCGGGATCGCTCAGTGACCAGGTCTCAGTCTAGTGCGGCTGCACCCGCAGTACCAATGGTGGACGGTACTAGGGTGATCGTTAGCATCCTTGCCCCCTTCCCCTTCTTCTCTAACCATACCCATCCCGACGCTTGGCTAGATGCTGTCGAAGCTCAAAACTACAGCGCAGCCGATCTTCCACGCGTTCTGACATTGCTACTCCGCAACACGTCGCATGATTGGTTTAGAAAACATACGTGGGTAGATTGGGCTACTTTCAAGCAAGCCTTCTTGGCTCGATTCGATACAGTCAGTGAAGATGCCGCCTGGTACGTACTCAAAAATCGACCACAAGGACCAGGCGAATTGTTGCCCGATTTTGTCGATCGATTTCAAACTACGCTGGACAAATCCGGACGAGAAATCCGCTCGAGATTTGTTCATCGATCATCTACGAAGTCCGACATTAAAAGGCAAACTGCAGAAAAAGGTCCCGCCGAAAACACACCAATTATCGACTATCATCACTAAAGCATTAGAGTTGGACCTGGCTGATACAAAAAAATATATCAGTCAGGGAGACGAAGATATTACAGATACCATACGGGATGTAACAGCCAAAAGGCGATCATGGTTGCAGGCGGTCAAACAGTTTTATCCCCGCCCCGACCATGACCTTCCCGGCGGGATCGTTTCCGATATCCCACCTGCTTCTCCTTCCTCTCCCCCGGCGAATCAATCGATTGCAGTTGTTAAAAGCGGAATCTCACCCGAACCCCCCTCGCCGGCCATAACTAACTTACACCTTGCCCAGATGATCCACACGGCCACTACCAAGCAGTCTGAATGGATGAGCAACTTTATCCAAATGCAGGCCGCTCACATGGAACGGATGGAACAGATGATGAGTAGGTTAATCAAGCCTAACCCGGCCCCTGCTCGGCCGGCCCCCGCATCCAGGGTACGCACCTCAGTTCCCTCATCCAGCCAATCCAGCCGAAAAGATCGAGTGTTTTAACTGCAAACAGCCCGGACATTTCGGCCGAGACTGCTCGCAGCCAATGCGTAGTCAGCCCCCACCTGCGGCGGCCCCCGTGGCCTTAAATCAAGGACGAGTGGCCGCTTTGATGGATACGGACCAAGGAGGAGAACTCATGGCATATGCCCCAGAGCAGCCTTCCCCTTCGATGGCAACGGCGTCGACCTCGGGAGCTTCTTCCTCTGACGCTGCTGACGTGGTCGATCCTCTCGAGTATCTCCATCTCGCAGGCATGATCAGAGCGATCCGATAGGCCCCAGATGATCTCGAATGGGTCGATCACGAATCCAATCCTAGACCGCAGTTTCGGACAGGAGACATTGATGTATTGAAAACGCTCAAGCAACTAGATATTCGCGTTCCTATCCCAGTAGGACATCTGCTCACCATATCTGAAGCGGCGTACGATAAACTTTTACAACATTGCCAGAAGCATCAAAAGCGCTTTACCTATCAGCGCATACAACGGATGTTGAAGAAGAAGGAAGGAAGCTAGGAAGTTGCATCCCCCGAGCCTGACACAAAAGAACCCGAACCTGAAGCCGCACGTATAGCAGCGATCTCTTTAGCAGAAAAAGATCACTTCGTACGAGCTCGGTCGGTACTATGAAAAAGTGCGGAATGTGACTGTGAAGTTTGGGGCAAGCCGTTTAATGCCCTTATCGACACGGGGTCTTCTGCAGTGGCCATATCGTTAGATACTGTCAAAAAGACGGGACGACTTGGATCCATTCTTCCTCAATCCGACAAAGACAACTATATCTCTGCCAACGAGGAAGCAATGAACATCGTAGGCATTATTGAAAACGTGGCTGTAAAAGTCGGGCGAGTACACGTCCTTGTTAACGCGCTCGTAATAGATGTACGTTCCTATTCTGTGTTGTTGGGATTACCTTGGGCGATGGCGGTAGGCGCACGTCTGCATTTCGATTCGAAACAATTGGTGCTTACACAAACTGGGGGAAAGCCTCAAACTGTCCCTTTGCGAGTTTCCACCCGAACGATAAAACGGGTCCCTAACTCGGCCCAAATTGGGATGATTCGATGCATTAATTCCGAGGAGTGCTCTCCCTCAGATATCAGTGATGGAATCAGGGAACAGGAATACAAAGAAGAGCTGTCCAGCGAAGATGAATGGAAGCACCTGGTTGAACTTTTCAAACACGAAATTCCCGAGGAATTCCAAGTGTGCCCCGACCCTGCTCGAAGTTTCCACGTGGATTCAGGAGACAGCGCGCTTGCGCCTCCGATAACTCAAGTTAGTCCTTCGTTCCTGCTAGGGGAACCTATCTTACAAGTATCCGACCTGGCTGATGATTTGGAACCCCCTCGCACCTTATACGAGGGAGCTCTCTCCTTACGAACGCGTTATCAGCAAACGGAACAGTATTTGGATGTCTCTGTTTTTTCGCCCAGATCGTTACTAACGGCAGGAGCTACCATCGCCTTGATTAAATAAGAAGCGGAGGCACCGGTAAGTGATGTACGTAATCTGATGCAAGAAATAACGGATCTAACGGTGCTAACTGTGGAACCGACCTCGGTTGGTTCAGAAACTGACGCTGAAACTAAGAAAACGGAGATGATCAGCTCCGCTGAGTCCCATATGATAGCAATTATCTTCTCTGTTCGCACCAGTAGTTCCGTTTTTCCTAGTGTCTATGATCGGCGGGAACGGCCGATTGATTGGGTCGATATGCCCCTTAAGATTTCCGGGGAATCAACAATCACCCTGCCAGGTCACGTCCCCGCGGAGCTTCGGAAATCATTAATCCGTGTGTTAAACGGTTACGCAGACGTATTGAGCATACACGACAACGACATCGGCGTAACTAATGTGRTCGAGCATRCCATTCTCACGGGAGACCATCCRCCCATTAGYTGCGCTCCCTACCGATACTCGCYAGCTCAAAGAGCGGCCRCTTTTCARCGGATTAAGGAGTTCGAAGCTAATGGATGGATCGAACCCGCCATAGGTCCATGGTCTTTCCCTGTAGTGATCGTGCCTAAAAAGGCCGGAGGGATTCACATTTGTATTGATTACCGAAAATTGAATGATATCACGATTAAAGATGTATACCCTCTCCCCCGGATTGATGAGTTGTTGGATGCGATTGAGAGTGCTCGATTTTTCAGCAAGTTTGATGTTCGTCATGGGTTCCATCATCTTCTTGTTCGGGAGGAAGATCGTCCGAAAACAGCGTTCGTGCTTTTCGAAGGTACATGGCAGTGGATTCGATGTCCGATGGGTATCTGCAATGCCCCCGCGACCTTTCAGCGGGCCATGAACATGGCTTTTCAGAATTTCGTGAGGAAGACTCGTTTGGCGCAGAGTATCATCAACTATTGCGTGATTGTGTACATGGACGATATCTTGGTGTATTCAAGTTCCTACGAGGGACACGTGCAGCACATCGAATGGGCACTGCATGCGTTACGAGATGCGGGCTTCAAGGTGGCGCTTGAGAAGTGTCAGTTTTTCCTCACCATCATTTCCTTCCTAGGGCACGTGGTGACAGACAAGGAACTCCAACCGGAGCCGCAGAAGGTGGCAGCTGTCAGGGACGCACCGGTGCCTACGACTATCACGCAAGTTTGCGCCTTTCTGGGCCTAGCCTCGTACTACCGAAGATTTATCAAGGGCTTCGCGGCGATTGTGGGACCCCTCATAAATCTGCTGCGCAAGGATCAGCCGTTGATCTGGACGCCGGAGTGCGATCAAACGTTTTCCACACTCAAGGCCGCTCTCATTTCGGCTCCGGTCCTTATAAGACCGGATCTCGAAAAACCTTTTGTTCTCATCACTGACTCGCAACCAGAGGCGATTTCGGCGATCCTTGCCCAGGTGGGACCAAGCGGACTTGAGAGTGTGGTGGAGTATGTGTCCAAATCAGTGCCCGCCTGCAAGCGCAACTACGCCGCTCCAACGGGGGAATGCTACGCGGCCCTCTGGGGAATGAGTCACTTTCGTGCTTACCTGTACGGGCGAAAGTTCACCTTGGTAACTGACAATGAGCCTCCATTGGCTCTGAAGAAATCGAAAGATTACTCTGGCATGATCGGGCGATGGGCAACGGTGCTGCAGAGCATGGACTTTGACATCCGTCATCGGAAGCACGAGAGACACGGGAATGCGGACGGACTAACACGGCTGCACCGGCCTGAGAAAGTTTCGAATAATGAGGAGGTGATTCCGTGGAACGAACCTGAACAGGAGATTGGACCCCGGTACGGCCAAGTGGAGATTTTGTCGAAGCAGTAAGTGGCACGAGGACTAATTTGTCTGTTCTACTCTTCCCACAAGTCAGTCCCATCTCTCCTCCTCTGTCATCATGACTACCCCACCTGCCTCCGCAACCCCTTCTTCTCCTACTAATTCTGCCCCTCTCACTTCCTCGGCTTTCTTCGCCACCCTTCCCGATAAATTCTGTTATTTTTGCACGTGTATTGCACGGGTTTATGGGGTCGACTGTCATCCCTTCGAGACCGGATTTGTTGATTGGGTGGAATGTGCCACGTGTGTCAATCGTGCGCACGGGGCCTGTGTCCGATATCGAACGAATAGCAAGGAACGGAGGTGCCCCCTGTGTAGAACGAACAAACTCCCCACGGAGGTTCGATTCGAGGCCGCCCGTACGGACGGCCCCGAATATGACGAAAAATACCGTCAAGCGGAGGTTTGGACGGATAAAATTTTATTGGCAAAATTAGGGGGATTATCATTGGGCCACCTCACCAAACATGACAGACGTAGGGCGACCAAGAGATCTCGGGACTATCGATGGATCAACGGTCACTTGGAAAAGCGTAAAACCGACGGGTCAGGTTCGTGGTTGACGGTTCCCCATCCATTCCAGAATACGATTGGATCCGATCTGCTCACGAAGAACAGGCCGCTCATTTCGCAATATGTGTCACAGAGGCAGTTGTAGACCAGAACCTATGGTTCTGGTCCAATATACGAGATGATGTCAAGTACATTGTCGCTAACTATCTGGTCTGTGCCGCTGATCGCGCCCCTATACGGGAACCAAACACGATCGTACCAACGGAAGTAGAGCGTCCCTTCCAGCGTGTCAGTATGGACACGACAGATATCGACGTGCCACCTGGCCCAACCGCTGTGAATATTCTATCCTGTTAGTTTTAATTGACCATTTTTCCAAATACATCGAAGTCTATCATTGTAAGACTTGAAAGGCCGCAGAAATAGCCACGTACATCGAACGATTCCTCTATACCCATCTAGATACGGAAGAAATTCTAACCGACCATGGATCGGAATTCAAAGGTGAGGTAGAAGAACTGCTTGCGTGAAGGGGCGTTACGCTCCGACATACGGCACCCCACGTGTCCCAGTCAAACGGGTTGGCCAAAAATGCCAACCGTATGATTAAAACCGCCCTTCGCAGGAATTTAGCGGCACATGACACGCGTCCTTGGCCCGAGATCGTATATCTGATCGTCGGGATCCACCGGGTCACTCCCCATGAGTCCACGGGGTTTACCCCTTTTCAGCTTCGAACTAATAGCCTCCCCTGTGTCGATTACCGGGGTAACTCGGAAATTGCCGAAGCAGGGGGTAGAGACACGCGTGCAACTCTCAAGGCCAAGGCCAAAAGGTACACCGAATTAATGGAACGAACCGTTCCGAAGCTAGCCCGAAAAAGGCAAAGGATGACCGAACTGGCCCACGGTAGACAGGTCCGTAGCTACGAGGCTCGGAATGGAAATGTTGGGCCCCAGTACCAATATAAATTAGGGGACCTAGTGCAGGTACGTAAATGTGCACGCGACCGGAAACTCGCTCCCAAGTTCTCTAGTTGTTTTCGCGTTGTCGAGCTCATACCCAACGGCGCCAACACGGTGCACATCTCGCCTGAGGCTAGTGCCAACCATAGCTCTGTCCCCATTGTCCGGCATACCTCCTACCTCCGTCTCCTTCCTCCTTCCGATCTTCCTCCCTCTTCTTCCTCGGAAAGCGAGGAGAACGATGACGATCTAACCCTATCTCCGCTCTCTCCCTCTCGCCCTTCGACATCCTCCCCCACCTCGCCATGAGTTTTATCACGGAACAGGTTCTTGACGCACAGCTGTTGCAGCCACGTGGCCACATCTCAGAGATTCGGCAAGTTTGTCACCCTCGGCTCAATGCGGATCTTCGGCGTTTGATGCGATTCTTCTGCGGCGAAGGTATCTGTGTCGCCGCCGCGATCCGAATCGAAGGAAGTCCTCACACAATAGTATTCGCGGAGGTAACTGCAGTCCATCGGCGAGCAGGTCCCAGAACGAGCCACGTCACCACGGTTGCGGCGTTCAGCGGCGACATCAGCTCGGTCAATCCGCAGTGGCATACCGCGATCTTGACCTCGCTGCGCGAGTGGACGGAGCAAGTGGCCAACGTGTGGCAGCACGTCCTCGCCCGACAGGGGTATAACCTCATCCCGATCTTGCATCGGATCTTGGCGATATTCGCCGATCACCGCGCGAGCAGCCCGTTGCGATCCCAACCCTCGTCCCCTTCCCACATCCCCAATGAACCACGCCGATCTTCTCGCTCCTCTCTCTATCTTTGGTCTCCCCTCTCTCTTCCCCACCTTCTGGCAATCCGATCTTCACCCTTCTCTTTCCTTCTCGTTCGAGCCTCTTTCAGTCCCTCTTATCAATTCGGGACATTGGCGGCTGCTTGGCCAGAGTACAGGTGACGTGGACGCAGACCAGCGGGCATCCTGCGTGGATCGAAAATCCGGAGCTGCTAATCATCCAAGCTTGGAGGACTAACGCAGAGGGTGATTTTCTTGGCTTTCTCTTTGGATCGGTTCAGCCGGGGCGCCGACATCTGATTGTGCAGGAACTCATCGCGTCGATCGTGCAATTGGCAAACGATCTCTCGCCCGACATCTATTCACAAGTGACGACAGTCCTGCTCCGTACATTTTTGGAGATCATTGGATCCGTACCTTCAGTGGACTACGTGCTTGGAGGAACCTAGGGACGAGGATACGCTACCGTCGCGGCAGGAGTATCTGAAGCCGTACGATATCATCCCTAACGCCTTCTATCCAAGGGCAGAGGAAGTGGTGATCGACGACGACGACGAAGAGGACGAAGACGAAGAAACATCGGAGGAGGGAAGCTATAGTGAACATAGCGAGGGCGAGCTGAGCCAAGGAGAAGGGGAGGAAGAAGAAACAGGATCTGAGTGGGAAGCTTTGCCGGAGGAAGCGACGCGTACAGGAACGGAGGCAGAAGATCCGAAAGCGGCTCGAAAGCGCGAAGAAATTGCCACTGGGAAGCGCCAGCTGGAATTCGCCAGCCAAGCTAGCCTGCGCATCGGTAACGATCCAACCAGAGATTCGGAGCCCCCGAAGCCCGAAGATGGCGACCCTGCAGCCACCACCTCAAGTACCGCGCGACGGAGACGGAGCCGATCCCCCTCCTCCTCCAACCCCACCCGTCCCCCAGTTTGCCCACGTACTGATGTGGGCGATAGGCCTTCGTCCTTGGACGCTGTCCCGCCGACCCCTTGATTTCCTCACCCTCGAGCAGATCCGTACCCCCGTCACCTTCCCTTCCCATCCCTTCCTTCCCCAMCTCTTCCGCGACTTCTATTCTACCCGCCTACTCACCACCATCCACCCCCACCCCTCTCTTCAATCTGCTGGCCCCACGTTCTGCTGGCACCTCTTGTTGTTCAGCGCTGCATGGGAGCGATGCAACGTGGTAGAGGTTTACTGCGTTGCCACAAGGACAATCCCCGCTTGCCGCCACTTCGAGTTCTTTCGAGTGGCGCTTTTCCGCACCCTCTCCTCCTTCTATCGCGACTACCTCGCTTCCCTTCCCTGCAGCGGCGATCATTTCGCCCACTTCCACCGGATCATCCGATATGAGGAGCTCCCGGTGACGATGGAAGGGATGAATCGCTTCCTACCCCCACTTCCTCCCCGTCGTCCCCGCGAGATCCCCTCCATGTACCGTCTTTACTGGCCTATTCCAACTGGACGGTAGATCCCATTCACGTGACCCCCCCCCCTCCTCTCTTCATCGGCACGAATCAGTAAGCTTCACGAAGATCACGCCATCGACGATGACGTCAACCTACGCTCTGATTCGACGGACAACAACGAGCTGGGGTGCAGAGCACACGGAGATCAGGTGAACCGTGATGGCGTCACCTGGACGATCTCTACAGGGCAGGGGGTTGCATATGACAGGGCCGCAGAGATCTTGCCACGGATGTTGTCGCCATCTCATCCGCGGCTCAGTTACCACTCCTTGTGCTTCTTTCTGGAGCTCTGATTGATATGTTTGGTTCCTCATGCATCACTCTGTTCTCCCCCTTCTCTTTCCTCCTCCGCCATGACATGCAATCAGGAGATCGCATAATTTTGGAACCCCCTGCGCGTCACATATGTGACGAACCACTTCCCGAACCCGTTCCATCTTTCATACCCCTTCTTTTGCTTGTATCATACCAACCCCAGAAAAACCCCGTTTCGATTTCTTGTTTTCGGATGCCGCATTTGTCTTCTTCTCTGAAAGCTTTTTCGACTTCTGGGTTCTGTTTTTCCTTTTTGCAAAGTCGGGAAACACATGGGAATTTACGTGCGCCTTAGCGAGCGCACTGGGAATTGGGCTCGGCAATTGGGAATTCCCGGATAAGCGGAACTTCGACGTGTCCTTTTCGAGAGTGTGTATGTTCGTGGGCGCGTCGGGGAAAACTCTCGGAGTTTTGAGTGAATACGAATAGGCGTAGGATTTTCTTTTCCCGCGTCGCTTTTCGCGCATGGATATGGTGATTTCAATTTTTGAATTAGGATGGAAGCAAGCCGTAACTATTTCGGTGCCTTTTTCTTTCTTTTTGTTGACAGCGCCGCGTATGCAGAGCTTTCTCCTCTCTGTCCCCCGCATCGCTCCCTTCCGCGCCTCCCTTCCCTTCTCCCTCCTTTTTCTCTCTCCCCGTAACTGTTTTTCTTCTCTCTTTCTCTCTCTCTCTCTCTCTCTCTCTCTCTCTCTCTCTCTCTCTCTCTCTCTCTCTCTCCCGCCTTGTTTTTTGCGCGCCCATTTCCCTTTCTTGATCATCTGAATCTTGGACCCGTCTTGCGCTACTACTAGCGCCTTTTCTCCACTCACCCTCTGAGTCTGGCGCATGACGCCCGGTCGATCCATCGATAACTCCCGCTCGCCAATCAGGTGAGCGAATCAATAGGACTTTCCTATTGCGCGGTGAATCTGATTGGTTGAACCTTGAATTTCGAGGGATCAACATGGCGTTCGTAGAGCATTCTTCTCAAAGTCTTCTCCTCCTGCTTCTCCTCTTACACCTCAGCTTTCCCGTCGCTTCCTCCCCCTTCCATCTCCCCTGTCGCAACTATAAAACCCGCAAGTGCGTCCGCAAATCTCTCTTACGTTCTCGACTCCTGAGCCAGCTTCCGGAAAGCAGTGGCCAGACAGAGTGTTGTGATGCGAGTCGGAAAGTCCTGTCGAGCTGACGATAGGCTGGCCGGTTGCGCGCTTGATCGCCACAACGGACTGTGGGATCGGGGCTAGCCGAGTCGAGTTTACATCAAGCGGGGTGACGATCGCAGTGGTGGGAGTTAGCACGCGGCGACTGGGACCGTCGGTGCGGGTATGAGGATTGATGATCGGAGTTGAGTGAGTGATTGGCCCGGGGCCATATTGGAATTAACGGCGAATGCGCCTTTGTTGTTGCGGATCTGTATTTCTGGCGTGAGTGTACGGCGGCAACGCCGAACTTCTGTCTTCCCCGACCTTCTCCTCTTCTATTTTGATTTTCCTCCCTCGTCACACTCTCTCTCTCTCTCTCTCTCTCTCTCTCTCTCTCTCTCTCTCTCTCTCTCTCTCTCTCTCTCT